AGTATATTTTAAGATTATTATCAAGAGAACATTCTTTGTTAAAGATAACTATTAAAAGGAAAAAAGTAAATTAACTGATCACTTTCTTGATAATAGAATGATATTTTTCTGTATATATGTGTAATCACTAACTTTAATTAATTCTCATCTCTTGCATTTATTTTATATTTTATGTTCTATTTTTATTCTATTTTATTTCTTCTAATTCTTCATGTTTGGTTCTATTTCGTATTATTTTTGTACATTACGTTCTTTTTGTAACATTCTCTGAATTATACACATATCGTTTTCTTCTTTTTATTTCTTTGTAATTAATTTTCTTGCTTCTTTTATATAAATGATATATTTTTACTTCCATCTGTTCTTAGAAGGCACAGCTCTAAAACGGTAAACTCCTCTATTCCTTCGTCAGTTCATCCGTTTTTTTTTCCATGGAAAAACTTGATCGCTCAACTTTCCACGTGAAAAATTGCGACCAACCGTGGAGCCGTTTTTCGAATTGCTAACTCGCCGAATCGCGTATGTGAGTTAGACACGAAGTAGAATCCCCACGGACATTATTTTTTCGCGGGAATCGTAACTCGGATGCGGACGCGAACTGTGCTCGTTGCCGCGCGGAGAACCGTTAACAGTCTTCCGTCTTCATTAAGTAATGCGAGTGTTGGAAGCGAATCTGTGATTTGCGGTTCGAATTTCACGTATGCGCCCGAGATAATCACTCGGGGGAAAAAAGAGGAAGAGAAATCGGCGGGTACGTTCATAACGATCCATAAGCGCATGTATCTGTCAGTGCGTGTAAACTCACGCGCTCGTCCTCCAACTGATCGCGTTGCGTAACGTTATGTCACGACGCTAATAGCACTGCGTGTACACGTCGGCTGTGCAGGCGTGTGTACCACTTTACGATTTCCACCAACGAGCTCGATTGACTTGTCAGAAGGTGCGATACGTATCGGCGGCGCGGCGCGGCGGTGGCGCATAGCATGGCCGTATAGCGGATAGATACGCCGTACCATAAAGCCGTTCCCACTAATGGCTTTATGGTTACCTCAGACTTTACTTGTGCAAAGATCAGATGTCAATATTCATTTGAACTTTGAATTTCCTCGAGAAACGAATGAATATCTTCTCTTTCCTGGGACTACACCGTTCGCACAGAAAGAAATTTTGCTGAGAGTTGTCTAAAAGTTTAACTTATTGACGATTTAAATGTGCGAATCTGATAAGAATTTTGTTCGATTATTGAAATAATTATGTAGAATGCTTAAGCTTGCTGCTAGAATATATTTTTTGCAGCGTTGCTGAATTTCTTATTTATGCTTGAATTTCTTATTTTGATGGGGCACAATAAAATTATTTTCAGATCTGTGTAGCTAAACTTTTAAATATTTCAGCAAAATCGTTCTTTCTGTGAACGTTTGTAGAAAATTATCATAATGAATAGATATCATTATTATTATTAAACAAGAAATTATTAGGCTATCAAAAGTCATGTTTTTAATTTTATTTGATAAATACGTCAAAACCGACCTAATCGTTTTGCTAATTTAATTTCACTGATTCAGGATTTCTTCGTATTGCAACATTCTTGTTGAATAAAAATAGATTTTCGTCAGGAAATGACGTGGTAAGTGCTGTAAACATGCCTATCACCTGATGCACAAGAAAACGTAAAGAGCAATCGCTTGCAGTTACATAGTTAACTTATAGACGTTGAGTATACTCGTTAAATAGCGTTGTTTTAATGCGGCAATCAGAGTCAAGGAAAGGTTCTCGGCCGAAACCTTAATTCTCACGGCAGTTTTTCCCTCTGCTACTTGCACGCAAGCTATACGCGATCCTCCAAGAGAAACGTTGAAGGATTTGGCTTCTCAGTTCGCTTTGGAGTATTTCGGCGAGTTTGTAAATCCATTTAACGACAAATAGAAGAGACCGTGACGAGTCGATCTCTTTGTTAACGTATTGTAAAATTTCGCACGCGAAACAAGGTTAACGAGGCTTCTGTCTCGCTGCGAGGACACATCTCGACGAGTAAGTGTTTTTTTTTTTTTCAAACGGCTTATCTAGCTACTCATTACATCGTGCATTTATTAAAACACGTTTTTTCAACTGTGTTCTGAAGTTGATATCGCTTAGTAATTGATATTACGTGAATAATCAGTATTACATAATATAATGGGAGTGTATTTGTAACGAACCGATTGCTATAGGCGTGCATACTGTTTAACATGCAAATTTTCAATGTCAGTTCGCTGAAAGTATCCACAACGCTACGTATCCACGTATTCTTCTTTAAAACCGACAATCTCAAGAAGATCAGTTCCGTTCGATTTCGCGATGTTAAAATATATATATACAGGCATAATTCTCAGTCGAGCGTACCGCGAATGCGTACAGAACGCAAGCGGAACAGCAGGGTTAAGGGGGATAGATAAAAATCCGATCCGGCTGGTAATGGACGGAGCTCGTCCGAGTGAGTGGTAAACGACGCGTTTTCCGGCGGTTGCTTCTTGTTTTCAACGCAGGCACTCCCGGATGAATTACGTGCCAGCGAGCGGATTGCCTCGCACAAGAAGTGCCGGTTCGTCTTAATTACCACCGTGTGCCGATTATCTCCGTGTTTGCAATCCCTCAATCTATATATCAGTGTAATTCGTGTACGCCGAGTAACGGTATAAGGCTTCGCCTCGAAAGTAAAGCGGCTTCGACTCCGCTTCCCCTCGCGCCGTTCCAATTAAACTCCCTGAATCTGCCGTTTCCGTGGCAATCATAAGGCGATCGTAATCTCGCAATTAGCGGGCAACGTCGCGCATCGGGTGTATCGCAAATCCGGAAGACCGTGGAAGAAAAACAGGAAGGTCAGCGAAATAAGAAGTATACATAGCGAGCGCGAAGATTTGCAAGAGAGGCTTTTAGAATTTCAAATATGGACGCAGTATCTTGATTTGAGATGATTTTGACGAACCACCTCGGAATGGGCTTCTTTTCTTTATCGAGATTCTTGAAAATCTTTATTTAAACGATCGTGCGATAAATATCGCCAATTTAAGCGACGGTCTCTTCGTGACAGATATTATATATCTGCGCCACGACAACATATAATAAACTACCGTTATCAAGAGTTACAGAATCGGGAATGAAGAGATCATGCATTATATCGTTTAAATAAAAAATTGTCATTTCGGCAAAAGTCTCGATAAAAAGAGAGAGAGAGAGAGAGAGAGAGAGAGAGAGTGATGATTGATTCCAAGATGGTTTGTAAAAGTCATCTCGATAAACGCCCGAAGCACTTCTACGTTACTGTATCGGCTCGAAAGAGTATAACCTTCGCCTGCTGCCTTCTCGCCTGTTCTAAGTGGCGTGACACATATAATGGTCGGTACACGGAGGAAACGGGACAGCTGTGCAGAAGTGTGTGCTTGGGAAGTGTTGCTTTCGAAATACCGGCTAGTACGTGCGTCATTCTCTATGCCGGCCGGCATTCTATGTTTCACTTTCGACTCTCAATGTACCGCTTCGGGAGTAGAACGGCTGACTTAGCGACGACGGCCTTGACTACGTCGTCATTTTCGCGCCCCCTCTCTAGTGTTTTTTGTCCTTCGTAAGCTCGAGAGGGCCCGCACCACCTTCTCCAGGAGAGTCCGTTATTCCTAGCAGTGCACGATAATCATCTTGAAAGTTGCACCGGCAATAGCGATTTATCTACTGCCTTTGAAAGGAAAGAGGATGCGTGATTCTCTCTTGGAAAATGACAGAAGTTCGATTGAACGAAAAATCCAACCGACGATTTTCTTCTGTCATAAGTTCATGTCGCGTTAGACGAAAGAAGTTGCTATTAAAAGCATATGGTACGTTTTTAACGTTTATGTATAAATAATTCAAACGTGCTCGTATTATTAATCATTAATTAGTCCACATTTGCGTTTTGCACGTATCGAGCAAATTAAGGATTATTCATTCTTCTTTTCTTTGATTCCTCTGTTGATTTCTGTCATATCTCCATATATTCCGATAATTTGAGAAGAAAATGTATTCGGCATTAAAATTTTTGTATACGATATTGAAATGAGAAAACAAAATTTTCAATTTTCTCTATGTAAATTTCTCTAGTCTCAAGACAGATTGGGTCGCATTGTGTACTCGGTATATCCCTTGTTGATTCATGTCGAACACACATTTCACCTGGTCACTCCGTCCGGTCGGAGAAAGCATTCGTATAGTCGTAGAGGAAACGACCTGTGCGAGCGTCTATATACGAACGGTACATACTCCACGTGCAGTATTTACGCGGAAATCTATAGTCTTTCCCGGAAAAGTGTATATCGGCTTATAGGTTCTCTCTGCTACCGGGTATTACCGTACGACAACAGCTACGATATCTCGCTCGGCGTTTCCAAGTGAAACGGTGAGACAGAGAACGTATCATTTTATGCGGTTTCAAGAAAACGTAATTCCAGAAACGCCGCCCGTAACTCTGGCGTCGATTACCTCCTATGCTGTTATTCGACGAGAGCTCTTAAGGAAATTACTTTGGGCCCGTTTTGCCACAACGTATTCTGTTGCAAGATCTATACCGTTGCATGTGCCACCGTTTAAAGGCGTGTTGCCATCTCCGGTCCATGATCGACGGATTGACATTCTATAGATGCGCTCCGTTCTCTGTTCGTGAAACGCGGGGAATTTGAAAATTAATTGCTTTCACTGAAAGAAAGAAAAAGAAAAAAAAGAAAAAAGAAAAACGATTATCAAGAACCGCGGGGCAGATATCCGTTTTCAGAATGCGCACACGTGTTTCGCGGAAGAGTCCGGAATATTCCTCTCGATTAATCGAGATAAAATCGGAAGTTCTTTAATTCGCCATCGCGAAAAAAATGAATCGTGTTTGAAGTAGGGTAATAGTGAATTTTTCAATTTGAATGAGCGCGACATGCAACGTTACAGATATACACACATACGCTGTAATCTAGCGAGTCTATAGCATGTGGTAATGTATATTTCAGATCCAGGAAACGACGGCCAAGCTCGAACAATGATTCCGAACGGACGTACAGCGGTTGGGGCGAGAGGGTGGTCTGCGGACGTGAGGGTTGTCGCACCAACGAACGCGGTGATTGCATGGACGAATGCGCTGCCGCCCTGGTCCTTATGTCGCTCTCGTGCTCACCTCACAGTCCTCACAACCCCCCGCCACTTCACTGCCAATACAATTACGGTACTGTGCTCATTTTTCTGACATCCGCACAAAATACGGTATAAGATGTCGAAAGCAGGTACAGAATAAATTCTTTTCTTTATTCGTAATTTTCAAATCATACTTTTTTCTTCTTTCTGTAACAAGAAGTTTTTATTGCGTCGATTCGTTTACTGTGCGAGCAATCGATTCTTTAAGAAAATACTGAAAAATAAGTATCGATAAATAATAATTTAATCATTTATTCGTATTTTGTGTTAACATATCGAATACGATATTTCATATAAACGCGAGACATCGAATTACCGAACTACGAACCGAATAGTTGTGCGGTAATTGGTCAGAAATGAATGTAGAAGGAATCCGATCTGCGGCAGGTTCCTGGGGGAGTCGTGGAGGCGGAGGCAGCGGTATGATCGCCGGCTCACCGGGAGTCGGCGGTATGTCAAATAGCAGTAGCAGCAGCGGGGCTTCATGGCGAAGCGGCACTCCCAGTCCACCCCTTAGCGAAGAGGGTGTCCCGACGAGAAGTTCTCCGTGTCCGGCGACCTCACATCCCTCGCACAATCAGCCACACTACCCCTACAACACGTCCGGTTCGTCGTCAAGCAGCACCCCGGGCTCGACCACGTTGGATGAGGGAATAGTGCCCGACTATATCGAGGAGCAACACCCACGTAAGAAGGTGAGTAACCTTTTCTGGTGTTCGTTCACCTCCTCGTTCATCGACGGGACGTGTGTTGTGTGCGACGTTGTCCCGTATATTGTCGCATAAGTTCACCGAACGTGCTAATCGGTGGAAGGAAATTTCTGGCATCTCCCAGAAATTCGCCTCCTCAGGCAAACTTGTTGTCGGATTGTTTCCCGTTTTACAGCCGATTAACATGTTGCATACCTCGAAGAGCTAATTTACTTCGCGGCCGCCGTAAAGCATTAGCGACTTCCGCTGCCTCTTTATCAAACGCTACCGTGACCTTTGAAACTAGTTTTCAGAGTCGCGTGTTCGCGCTATTTCTAACACCAAGCTGCCCTCGCCCGCCATCTTTCAGAGTCTTCGCTGACCTTAATCTTCGTGAATAATATGCACTGTCGCGTCAACGCAAGCCCAATTCATGCTTGTCGAGTCTCCACACGGAAGACAAATGATTTTCATGAAAACTAGTTTCATTAAACTGGTAGCAGCTCGCGAGTTGAAGAACTTTTGTTGCGCGATCTATAATTATTATTCGTTGACATTCGACGTTTCGTTTTAACGCGCGCATTGATAAAAGTGTCTTTTGCATTAGTGACATGGAGTATGACTTCCTTGAAGCTTACATTAAAAAATCACACAAGCGACCGTCACGGTGGGAATACACGTTCGCCATGATAAAAATCTAATGGCCTTCAAGAAGCCACGTCTCCATGATTAATTCTTTTCGCATTCGCGTAGTAATATGTGGTAGCTTAATTAACGCCAACGCGTGCGCGCGAATATGATAAGTCTATTGCGTAAGACATTGGGGCAGCAGGGTGAGCCTTGTACGTTATATGTATCGTTCCATCGTTGGATCTGATTCGTTTTCTCTGCCGGGATTTTCTCTCGTATTTCTTACGTATACAACAGAATTGAAAATTGATAATTGCGACTCAAGTTTAAAGTCGATTTACAGATTCCATTTCCAGACAAAGAATATAATTCACCGCAATTATCGCATTCTTGTGAACTGTATCTGTATAAATGTACACAGAACTTTTATTGGAGATTATTTCCGTCAAGTTATTGTTTGAGAACGTCACAAGTTATATCGATTTCAAATTTCGTTTATATTAAATTTTGTAATATATTTTTTTCTTTGAAAAATTATTCTTTTCATATTATTTAAAAAATATACTGTTTATAGTATTATATTTTCGATACTGATTGGTACCATTAGTAAGATAAACACGTTATAAGAATAGAAATAACTACAACAAAAAGATAACAGTTTTGATTGATCGATATAACGGACTCGACAGATTTAATCGACATTGGCGAGAGTAACGGGACCAATGAGTCTCTTTTTGAGGTGACGGAGGACTAGTTTTCTCTTTTCGAATGGACGAGCCAGTGAAAACGAAGTCGCTTTCGGTCGTTTCGTAACGGTCAATTTTCGTGCAACGTTCAGAAAAGAATGGGTCAGGAAAGGAAACGAGGTATCATGCACAACTTTGGAGTCGCATTGAGAACTTACATTTAAAGCTCGCCAATGTACACGTTTCTTAAGGATTAAAATAGAAATTAATTTTAAACTTGCGCGTTTCTGACTGTTTTTCGTTCTCAAACTTCTGTGTGTAACTGTCTGTATCTTTTCCAAGTTTCGAACTAGCTTATTCGAATCAAATCGTTTCAAACTTTGACGAGTGAAAATGTGCGGAACATTTATATGCAACGCGGATAGGATATTTTGCATACTAGGGCTTCGATTATCTCATGGATTTAAACCGCGCCAGTTGTTGCGGCAATGTCCCTGACCGGTCAGAGATGCAAGCGAAAGAGGCCTGCAAAGGCGGCCGGAGTCATCTTCGTCGTCGTCGTCGTCGCGTCGTCGCGCGTGCCAAGCTCGCGCACATGATGATGACATAAGCGCGCGCCGGCCGAGCCAAGGATGTAAACACGCGCGCGGCGATTTTTTGGTATTTCGTAAGACGGCTAACAAACCGGACCTTGAGGTATTATCGCCCCGCGCTAATCTTAGGTATACGCAGCCCCGCGCGCTTTTGCTGCTTTCGGCCGCGCTTGCACGGGAAATAGCGACGATGGCGTCCCGCTCCCGAAATAGCCGCTAAGATGAACGTGGCCCCTTAACTAACCGAAACGAACTCGCTGAAACCTGCCTCCGTTGTATGGCTTTTTCAGATTCGAGCGAAAGTCAACCAGGACCCGATCGAGACGGAGCCAGGCGCTTGCGCGACTTTCGAAAGCGAACAGGTAAGGTACCGATTTCTGTGCTCTCCGCATAATTAGACACTTGCTCGCTGGGGATTTCGCAGGTGCGAAATCGCAGGCAGTGAAACTCCGTTTTAACCTTACGCTGGTAAAAGCGTCTGATTGCATCGATTGGAATTCCGCTCGCAAATGAACAAATGAGAATTTTCTGAATTTCAATATATTACAAGTCTAATCGGGATAACCAGAATTGTGATTAATACGGTCAGAATCTTCTGATTCGTTCGTTTTTAACTAGAAATCTTTCTCATTTTCATCCAAATATCAGTATAGGGCGGCTACTTTGTGTAGATATCAAGTCACATTGCCGTTATAATTTTCTGTCATAAGTTCGCGCGCGTAAAAAGATTTATTTCGGCAGAGAGATTATTATTTAGCACTTATATTTTTTGTTTTAATAGTATAATGAGAACGCAAAGTATCCTACTCATCTTTTAATCATTCTAAGGTTAAGCTTTCCTTTTACGTGCCATTTTCCTTTGGAATTAACTGCAATTTCTTTTAACATTAATGAAAGCACGACGGAAAGCATCCTCTGCGATGCAATTTGCATTCGAGATACTTTGTTGTTACTACGTTCGTTATCTGACTGGTAACATGAGTAGAGATAAGTAATCTCACTTGCCCATCGCAACAACAGTTACTTTTTCCTCTTAATTATCTCTCGTGCAGCAACCTATCGATATCTAGAGTGTGGGAAAACCTCTGGTTGTGAAAGGGGAGGCGGCCGCCAGCGGCGCGCAAATTGCGGGTGCAACACGGGGTGCAAGTTTCGTTATCGGGGGGGAAAAAAAAAAAAAAAAACGGGGAATCAGTGGAACAGTCTCCGCGTGTAAACGCGACTTAAATCTACCACTATCACCACCACCACCACCATCAGCGACTACCACCATCGCCGCCACCTCCTCCTCCTCCATCACCTTCTCTCGGATCAATATTATTCGTAACCCAGTTTACATCGAAGGTTCCTACTTTCACCGGTGGTCGCGAACGGCCCGCGATCGTTTAAAGTCATTCATCTTGATTCAATCAACGTCGAGATGATGTCGTCAGTTGGAAATATTCGCGCGTCATTCGCGATATTGGACGTCGATCAGATCCGCCGATGTAATTTACGAAGTCTAATGCATGCGGTTTTCGACTTTCACTAGTGAATACTCATGTAACTTGGAGTAACCAGATTTCCATGGACGTGTCCTCTTTTCTGAACATCGTCTCCGGGCGTTCTCTCTTTTTATTTTTTTCCTCTCTTTTTCTATTGTTTTTTACCGTAACGTTCCGCTTCCTCCAGTCTCGCATTTCAATGCATGATTAAATAATCAGATGTAACGTGTTTTCGTCATCTTAATGCTTTATTAAAATTTCAAAACTCCAAGCGGAACACATCGTCTACAAAACAACACGTTATTGCCAACGCTTATTTCGTCGTGAGACGTTGTGAGCGAATGGGAAAATAAATGTTCGTGGAAATTTAATGAGAGAAATTGACGTGTCCTCGTCCCGTTTGAAAAACTTGGGAACATCCCAGTTTCTTCCACCCCCATTGTCCCAGTCACACCCGAGAGAAAGATGGCCACCCTACCTGCTGCGTATCGGCGCGCACCTGACCCAATTGACCGGCTCGGTGATATCTCCGCGAACACGGCAACCAAGGTCGTCGGCGTTTCCCTAGATTCTCTCATCGCCTAGTGCTCGTCATCGCGAGAAAGGTCATTCGATCAAGATAGGAGAGAGAGACGATGCCACCGTTCCCATATCGCGACATCCATGAACGGCGATACTGACAGGCGGGGAAGGAAAGAGAGGAGGAATAAAAGAGAGAGAGAGAGAGAGAGAGAGAGGCGGTCAGGAAGTTCCATCCGAGTGTGTTGCATTGTGCAACGAGTGCGACAGAGCGCTTCGCTAGGAAGGACCCCCGCTGCCCCTGCATGCCTGTCCTCCACCCGCGCTATTCGACGCGCGCGCGCACGCGTGCACGTACGCGCATCCACGTGCGCAGTGCCGTAGTCGAGCGTATCGACGGGAGTATATTGAGTGCATTTTATACCGGTGGAGATTTCCTTTGTCTCCGTCACGTGTCTGATGCAGCCGTAACGCCTCGGTCGAATCTTACACGCAGGCATATATATATGAGATCACGATCGCACTCGTTCAAATCCCAGTCGATAAAATTAGTCGACAAACATTTTTTAGTTAACGTAAATTCTTTGTGTTTACAAAAAATATACATTCTATTTCAGCGAGATTATAAACGTATTCCGACGGAGAGGAAGAACTTCGTTTTGTGGAGAAAAGTATCCTCGGCGCGGTTTTTGTTCTTTGACAGACAGCTTCTTGCCTAGCTCGTAAGATTTACGAGAAATCATAGAGATTTATGAATGATCATATGTCTTACGATACGCGTTGTAGAATTATAACTCCAGTCATAAGTTCTTACATGACTTAATTATAAGTTCTTACGAGAACAAATTACGAGCCCGTATACGATTCTACTTAGAATTGACTCATACATAAGCCGCTCAAATGTGAGAAGATTGCAATTGGCACGAATTAAACTTTGTCGAAAGGTCGTGCACGCGCGTTGCGCGACACGTGGACCTAAATATTAAAATCTCACGTGGAAACTGATTTTTTTTTTTCTTTTTCGATCGAACTTGAGAACTGGTTTCACTATAGAGGACAACGATAACTCGTCGGACTCATAAAGTTCAAATTTATAGCTTGTACAAGCTTAGCAGATATCGTTTGATTCTAGCAGCGTATATATACCATCGGCGACTTTGGCACATTTCGCCGATGTCTCTTTTCAAAATTCCAGTTAAATTACCGCAAAGTAATATATACATATATTTAACGAATGAGAAACGAAGCGAACAGTTTCTGAATAAAACGTCCATGCAAATGTAAAATGCCACCGTCAATCGCTCGAAATTGCCTTCTCGACCACGTGCGTATACGAAATCCAGGCTGAACCCTTAAAAAGAGTGCGGATCGTGGTCGACGTGAGCCAAATTCTATTAAAACGTCGCGCACGCGCCATCGGCATATCCTCGTCCGTCGGCATACGTCTGCACATGGACCTAGATCTCAGAGCGGTAACACGCGCGAGGACCCGGCGCGGCGCCGTCGTTGGTGCATCGCGCGTCGCAGTGCACACCACGTGACGTCACCACAAGCGGCACGTGCCCCTGCCCCTGCCCGCGCCCCCCGGTGCCCTCGAATGCGCGGCGTCGCTCGGTGACGAAGTGGTGCGGCGCGGCAGGACGGGGTGCCAACAACGAGAGGGGGCGGTAGAGGTGCGGAGGAAGGTAGTTAAGGTCACCGTGGCCCTGACTGCACGCGCGCGAAATAATATCGGTGTGCTACCGTATATGTATGCGTGTGTGTGTGTGTGTGTGTGTGTGTGCGTGCGGCGTGTGCACGGGTGTGCACGCGCGTATGTATGTGTTGTGTGCAGCGCGCGGGCGCGCGCGGAGAACGCACGGAAGATTTATTTCTAGTTCCGCGTGCTGCCGCTTTTCTAACCAAGGTTTTGCCGGTTAGATGCACGAGTCGCACGAGTGTCCCAATGGCGGACCTTGACCGCCGGCACCGATGTTCGGACGGTCGTCATACCGTCTGGTGATCATTGCAGATCTTCCTAGCGATATTGCGACGAAGTTTCCGATTATCGCTCGCAATACTAAAGCAGCTGCTGCCGCTCGCTTGACACAGTTACGTCACGTGATGTATCTTTCCGTGACGATGCTATTATTTCAGTTCGAAATGAGCCCCTCTCGAAATGAGTAGAATTTAAAGGAGGCGACGTATTGATGCTCGCTATACCCATAATCCTAACTTGACTGAAAGACTTGGAGTAGATATATTTGTTTTAAAAAATTTTATGTTCAACTTTTTATTTTGTTTCAAATATGAATAATAAAAATACCGTTTTTATTGGTACCGTCGAAATTGGTGCGAGAAAGAAGGAGAGAATTTTCAGGGAAGCTCGTCTCTCTTTTAAAAGAGGATTTCTTCCATTCGTTCTTCTAGCCTTTTAAAGAAAAAGACTTCCTTTTACATTATTTTGTCGTTCGTTATATTATTTAAATTACAAGTGAGAAAGATTTTTGTACTCGACTGTACGCACACACATTATTCATTAAATATACAAAATCAGTTTTACACAAATACATTTCTTTCAATAAAGCATTTATCACTCTCGCTTTTATCTCGAATTACGATTACAAGATCTGAAAAACGATTATTCAACTTTTTCCGCTCTATAATACATCATCTGTTTGTATCGTTTTTAACATTTCCTGTCGCAATTTTCATTAAATTCATCTGTATAGCGTAAAGCTTCGTATCGTGTAATAACACGTTCCCGTATTATCTCTCGGCGTATCATGCAAATTGCGCGGTCGCGAGGCGAGAAAGAATATTCTGACGTATGCGATCTGAACTTGAAAAAACGTCCGTGTCTCGAAACGTATCGGCTTGACGTGCCGGTACTCGCTTCCGCGAGTTCTGGGCCGCCGCGCCGCCGCCGGGTCGTATTCTGACACGTTCGTCCACCTTACGTAATACGCGTTGCGTAAACTTGACGTTAGCCGTAATGCTCGCCATACATATTTCCGCGCGCCCGGCAACAACTGTGCACTCGGGGAGGGATCTTCGGCCTTACCGAACGACGTAATCATATATACTCTCTCGTATCGCTTCCGTCCTCTCGCTCTGATCGTCAGATACTCGTCGGTAAAAATGAACGGACGCGTTAAACGCGATTAACGTGGTCTTCTACAGTTAGCATAATTGACTTTTAATTTTTGTCCGATCGATCGTGTATCGCGATTTTACATTGCAAAAATCGTGTCACGGCGATAAGCTTGCGATAAGAATAAAAATTCGCCGATATTCAGTTAGATTCGGAGTAATTGTGATAAAATAATTTGTACAGAGAACCGCGTAGAGGGAGAAAACATTAAATTTATTAAAAATAT